ATGACTATTTTTTTAGCTCTTATTCATTTCGTTTGGCCAACAAAAATGTCCAATTTATATACACATATATTCTTACATAATGAGACTTTAAAGAATGCAAATAATCTTCATCTATTTACATACACAACACATCTCCCCCCTTAATAATACTCCAGTCGGTCTGGGGGTTTCCTGGCTCTCTGAGATCTAGGACAGCGGACGGGCACTTGCACAGCGGCAGGCTTCGGTTTAGGAGTGCAAGAGGGCACGTGCACAGCAGCAGGCCCTGGTCTAGGAGTGCAAGAGGGTATGTGCACAGAAGCAGTCTCCTCCTTGTTTCCTGATGTAATCTCTGGAACCTCCTCTTCACTTTATTTCTGACTTCCACCTACAGGCCTCTCTCCTGATGTTCGAGGAATTATCAAATTTCTTGTCTCCACTTGTTTCTTTCTCACAGGTCGCAATTGATTATTATGCCTCTTATACACGACGCCCTCGCAACTTATAAGGTAGTGACGGTAGCTCAATAATTTCAAAATGGTACCTATTTACCGTTTAGGTCCAGTTGCATAATTGCGGAAATAAACCTCGCAACCTGTAGTAAACTGCTCCTGCCTTCTTACGGCCTCATGAAATACCTCTCGCGGATTTCCCATCTTGGTATTAAATTCGAGAATATTGATCTTAAACTTCTCTTCATTAGCAGTTCCGCGGGGGAATTCTTTTATTACAGTTTGGGGGAATGCTCTATGAGCAAATAGGAATCTTTGTAGATTCGCTATAAATCATCCTTCCCATTATTCTTTCTCAAAAGGTTTTTAAACTCTCTTACATATCTCTCAGCTAAACCATTTGTACTAGGATTATACGGACTGGTCTTAGTGTGGCGTATACCATTCATTTTGGTAAATTGCTCGAATTCACCGGAGACAAACTGTCTTCCGTTATCTGTAACCAAAAATTAGGGCAATCCAAATCTGGCAAAAATTTCTCTAAGATGATTTATAATCGTTTTTCTGGTAATATCTTTGATGAGAAAAATTTCTATCCACTTTGAGTATGCGTCCACGAGAACAAAAAACATTCCTTCCATGAACGGACCCGCTAGATCAAGATGAAGTCGATGCCACGGTTTTTCGGGCCAAGTCCATTCCGAGATGGTAGCCGGGGGGCATGCTTGCCGATTCTTGGCATACTCTACATTCTCTAGTTAACTCCTCGATGTTACTGTCTATGCCTGGCCACAAGAAAATACCGTCTGGCAATCATCTTCATTTTAACAATCCCCATGTGTATTTCATGCAAGTCATTTAAAATTAAAGATCTTAATTTTTGGGGAATTACCACTCTTTCACGCCATTGAAGACAACCAAACTCCAAATTTAATTCCTCATTGGTCTTATAATGAGGAGCTAGTGGGTTTTCCCTCGGTACCCTTGTGAATTTCCACACACACACAGTTGCCTTCTCTAACATTCCTTAATACTATAGACAGTATTTTATCTTGGGGCGTCTTATATGCCACCTCCATAAAAGAGAACGATACCTCATTCAACTTCCTGAGAAGAAGTACCTGGTCTTGATCAAGAGACTCCCTGACACTCGATTCTAAAGGAAGACGTGACAATGCGTCAACATTGGAATTATCACTAGTTTTTCGAAATTCCACAGTATAATTAAATGCAGCTAATTTTAAGGACCATCTTTTAATTCTGGATGATGCACATATGGGAATTGGTTTATGAGGCGAAAATATATGAATTAAGGGTCGGTCGTCTGTGACCAATACAAATTTCGTCCCAGTAAGTATTGTCTGAATTTCTCAACGCCAAAAGTTATGTTCAACGCTTTCTTTTCTAGTTGAGAGAAACGTTTTTCCGCTTCAGTTAATGTTCTAGAAGCAAAAGCTATAGGGCATTCTTCCTTTCTATCATTTCTATGACTCAGAATTACGCCTAGTCCATAATAGTCCATAGTCCATTAATAATGATTTACATTTTTAAAATAACATTCAATATTCTTTCGTCCAATTCCATCTACAATTTTTATTCAAAAGTTTATAGAATAGCGCTAAAATGTTTGCTATATTCTTTATGAATCTATAATAATAAATTAAGCGTCCTATGAAAGATCTTAATTGCGAAACATTCTTTAGGTTCAGGCGCCTCTATCACTGCTTTAATTTTATTTTCTAAGGGATGCAGTCCATATTTATCCATTATCCACCGATTTCTTTTTAAATTTACATTTATATTTGTTTAACTTTAAACCTTTTTCTAGCAATTATCTAAACACTAGATCCAACTTTTGTTCATGATCTTCAAAGTCTTTTCCTGCAACCAAAATATCATCTATGTAGCAGGCCACACCTGGCAAATCAGCAAATAGACCTTCCATAATCCTCTGAAATTTATTTGGTGCTACCGCTACGTCATATGGTAGTCTTTTATAAGAAAACAACCTCTTTGTTGTGTTTATATCAACAACAGCTTTGGATTCTTCCACTAACATTACTTGTAAGTAAGCTTGTGATAGGTCTAGAGTCGAAAGTACGGTGCTTGTAGATAATTTTGAAAAGATCTCATCGATCGATGGAATGGGATACCTATCTAATTCTATTGCTTTATTAGCTGTACATCTAAAGTCACCACATATCCTTACACTACCATCCTTTTTTAATACCGGTACTATTGGAGCGGTCCAATATGCATGAACTATAGGTTATAAAATGCCAGAATTCAATAAACGAGCAATTTCATTCTCTACTTTGTTTTTTAGAGAGAAAGGTAAACTTCTGGCCTTACAAAACACAGGAGTCACATCCTTTTTTAAATTAAAATTTATTTTAACATCCTTTAGACAGCCCAAATCTTTGTTAAACAAATCTGCATATCTATCAATCAAACTATTTCTATTAGATTCATTATTTAAATTTTTAATGCTAAACAATCTAGAATAATCAAGTTTTAACCGTTTAAGCCATTCTCTTACTACAACAACAACAACAAAACAGCTTTATTAGGGCATCTTGCCCTGTACGGATTCTCCGTGGAGTTACAGACAATATTAACCATGAGAGAACAGGTGAAAATAGAGTATTTACAGTTAAGGTATGGCAAACAGGGTGACTTTTTATTGCCATTCTCTTACTAACAAAATCACCTGGAATTTTCATTTACAACTATTAATCGTAAATATTGGTTGGCTTCTTTTACAAAAACATTTCTTTGCCCTATAATATCTATTGATTTACCACAAAAGTATTTTAATCTTAAATTTGTTGGAAATAATTTTTTACCTTGCCAATAAATCTTATGAATATATTTAGGTATTAACGTAACTGGACTTCCTGTATCTATTGTAAAGCACAAAGAATTATCATCTACTGTTAAATTTATTGTGGCATCAGTTTCGCCCTGTACAGAATATATAGAGTCCTCTTGTACATATTTACATCCCCACATTTTTTTACTAGCTTTGCAAACCCTACTTAAATGACCCAGTTTTTAACATTTTAAAACAAGTCCTTGTTCTATGAGGGCAAACAGAGGCCACGTGTAAATGTCTTTCACCACATCTATAACACATTATATCTCATCGTTGTCTGAAAGGCCTATGCTGCGCCGTACTATTATTGTACTCACCCTTTTTATCTTTTCCATTCACAGGGGATATCTTGGCCACTAATTTATCTTGTAATTCTCTTGTATTTATCTCCGCCAGTCCGAACGAGATCGCCACTGCAAAACTTTATCCAAGGTGACATCGTCGTTTTATTGTAGTTGCTTCTTTTGCAGGCTTTCCAACTTGATTCCAGCCACAAAACGGTCACGCATCATGGTCCCCAGCATATCGCCGAAATTACAATTTATTGCTAAATATTTCAATTCTCTAAGATTGTTGTTGGCCATGAATTATCAAACTTCAAACTTTCAGAATCTGGTAGCTAGGTAAAAATCAGCACTTTAATCTCCTCCTTCAGATGCCAAAAAGAAAGCCTCAAATTTTTGTACAAAAAGATCGAAGTGTCCTCCACTGGGCTATAGCATCTAAAAGGTACTATTAACTTTGAACTTGTCATGCTGATCTTTTCTACTCCTTTGTTTTCTTGATCCAGATAGTTTAAAAGATGTAGTTGTTATACTTGCATAGACGCCGTTTTCCTCAGCCTTTTACTGGCTCTGTAGATCGCGCATCCTCGTCGCCACTTTTGTTGTGTCGTAATTAGACGTACAAGAGCTCAAACTTGACCATGGCCAACAACAAATGTCCAATTTATATATCCATATATTTTTACATAATGAGGCTTTAAATATTACAAATAATATTCATCTATTTACATAAACAACAGTTAATATATAGCGAGAAGAGTAGAGGACTGAGCACAGATCCCTGAGGTACACCAGCCCATGTTCTACGGTCCTTGGAAAATGTTCCATTGACCCGAACCTTTATCCTTCTTCCCCTTAAGAAGTCTGCAATCCAGATTAAGGTTTTTCCTCTTACTCCGATGTTGTGCAGCCTTTCGAAAAATTCTACACTCGATCAAAATACAATATAAACGCGGCTGATGATTGTAAAACGAAAATTGCAATTATACCGCGAATGTTTCTTTTAAACAAAAATCTAAATTTATCTTAAAGAGAAATAACGACTATTTCTAACTTTAAGGATGAAGTATGAAAGGGTGAAAAATATGAAGAGTAATGGCGAACGGAAAAATAAAAGTGTCCAGGGGCGGGAATCGAACCCACGACCTTCCGCTCACCGGGCAGATGCCATGTCCACTAGGCTACCCTGGACATATCTCTCCGTTCGTAAATATTATATAAAGTAATTTAAAATACAATATAACGCGGCTGATGATTGTAAAACGAAAATTGCAATTATACCGCGAATGTTTCTTTTAAACAAAAATCTAAATTTATTTTAAAGAGAAATAACGACTATTTCTAACTTTGAGGATGAAGTATGAAAGGGTGAAAAATATGAAGAGTAATGGCGAACGGAAAAATAAAAGTGTCCAGGGGCGGGAGTCGAACCCACGACCTTCCGCTTACCGGGCAGATGCCATGTCCACTAGGCTACCCTGGACATATTTTTCCAAGCGGAAGGTCGTGGGTTCGATTCCCGCCCCTGGACACTTTTATTTTTCCGTTCGCCATTACTCTTCATATTTTTCACCCTTTCATACTTCATCCTTAAAGTTAGAAATAGTCGTTATTTCTCTTTAAAATAAATTTAGATTTTTGTTTAAAAGAAACATTCGCGGTATAATTGCAATTTTCGTTTTACACTCGATCAAAAGCTGAGGTCATATACAGGAATACGGCTGTTGTCTTCTTTGGCGGTTTTTCCTAGAAATCTATTATTGATTGACAGAAGTAGAACAGTTTATAAGTTGTACAGTGTCTGGATCTTTAGGCAGTTTGGTAGAAGTTTATTTTATTATTGTTAGTGAGCCAGACTATGATCCTAGAGCGGATAATTCATTCTGTTATTTTACAAAGTATGCTGGTAAGAGCAATTGGCCGATAGTTCTTGCATTCCTTGGCATCTTTGTTTGGTTTCAGTATTGGAACTATAATTGATATCTTCCAATTCTTTGGTAGTTTACCAGTTTGCCATGAAATCTTCAGTATTCGTAGGAGTTGATTTTTAGCTTCGTCTCCAAAGTGTTTAATCATTTGACCAAAGATTAGAGCATCTCCAGGTGACCTCTCGGATTTAACTTTCCTATTGATGAGTTTAGCTCATTCAGTGTGAAGTCTCTAGAGTAAATATCTTGTTGATGGTAATTTCTTGCTTGTTTAACTAACCTGTTTACATTATTTTTAGAGTCCTGCCTTCATTCGTATAGCTGAATCTGGAAGTGCTTGAAAGATATTCAGCAATTATTTCAGTCATCTGTTTGTTCGTCCTCGCTATTCATATCGGTTAGAATATTGGAAGATTAGTGTTGGTTTTGATTGTTTTATAACACTAATTATATTCCAGTGATGGCTTTCCTTTTTTGGATCCATTTTCTTCGCAGAATTCTGCCCATTTTTTCTCTCTCTCTCTCTTGTTTGAATATCCAAATTTATTTTTCTATTTTGTGACTAATTTCAATGAGTTCCTTTATGATTTCTTCTGTTCTATTTGTTTTAAGAAGTTTATTGATATTGTTTCTCTCTGCAATCATTGCCTCGATATTGTGGTCCTTCCAGTAAAGTATTCACAGGTCTTTACGTCTACCTCTAGGTATCGATATTTTTGCAGCTTTGGATATGTTCGAAGAGAATTTTTCAAATTTTTTTGTCAATCGTTCTGTGATTTAATTCTTCGTTGCACAGTTCTTCAAGCTTTTCTGTGAATTTTTTTCCAGTGTTATTTTATTCTCTTGGATATTCTCAATTTTGAAGTTTAGGGTTGTTAAAATTGGTCTGTGGTCCCTGATTGCACTTTTCAGAATTTTCCATTGTGTTGTGGGTGCGATGTTGTAATTTATCGCTGTGGTGTCTATTGCGGATTCTGTGCCTGTGGACTTGGATAGATAGGTGTTCTTTTCGTTATTTAACGGTGTAAGGTCGAGGTCGGTTAGCATGTCCTCAACCTGCTGACCTTTGTTATCCTGGACAGGTGATCCCCAAGTTGGTCTTTCGGCGTTAAAATCACCAAGTATGATTGCGATATCCGAAGACGCTTCACTTAATGTCTCTATCAGGCCTGTATTGATGCTAGTATTATCGTGGTGATAAAAATTTATGATTGAATTGTTTTATCTGTATGATAGATTTCTATTGCCTGAGCTTCTGTCGTGCTTTCTCTAGGTTTACTCTGATTATAGGCGATATCCTTAAATTTGATTTCTAGAGTTTTAATCAAAACGGCAAGTCCTCCTCCAAATTTTCCCGGTCTGTCCTTTCGTAGTGTTGTATAATCTTTGATATTGAATCTCAGATTCTGATTCAATTTTGTCTCCTGAGGACAAGTAATATGTACATTGTTGTCACAGAGAAGACAAGTCAGCTCTTTATTTTCCTCTGGGTACCATTTATATTGAGTTGTAGTAGATTGAATTGTGTCCTCGTAGTAGATTTCTCATAATGAGCTCGAGCTGCAGATCCTGACGCGGCGGTTACCCTGGACGCGGTAGCATTACTGAAGATATCAGTTTTGCTCTTCATTGGAAAATGGGTGTCGTTGCAACGTTAGTCACCTGGTAAACGAACCAGAATTTGGTCAAATATTCCAAGGGTCCAGGGGGGACCGCAAGGAGGTGTGGTCGGACTTCTCTCCTTCCCCCTGGAATGCCGTCACTACAGGATAAAGCACTCTTGGTGAATTTTTTAAATTGTGATTCAGAATCTGCCACTGAAGCTTTACGAGCGTTTCGTTCCTTTAAAGGTATTCGAAGCGGTAAAAGACCAATGAGTTGCTACTCTCTAAAGCGATTGATTAAAAGTTTTGAGGAAACTGGATCTCTGGAAGCAAAACCTCGGAGTGGAAGACCATCGACATGCAAGTCAGTGGCTGTTACGGTTTTGCAGAATGCTGAAGAATTTGAAACGTTATCCACGTATGGAAAAGTAAGCGCTAGACAAGTTTCTCGACAAACGGGGATTTCGTATGGAACAGTTTGGAGAGAACACACATTTACATTTTTTCTATAAAAATACCCTAACAAAATTCAAAGTTTTCACGAGTTGAAAGTCAGCGATTTTGAGAAGCGTCAAGAATTCGCTGCATGGGTTTTCCGGCAAATTGATATTGATGAAAACTGGCTGTCAAATGTTCTAAGAACAGATGATGCTCACTTTTATCTAAAGGGAGAATTTAACATTCAAAACTGCCTCATTTTGGCAACAGAAAACCCTAGGATTTTGGCAGAAATACCACTTCATCAGCCCAGAGTTACAGTTTTGTGTGGGTTCACTTCTTCTTTTATTATTGGGCCATTTTTCTTTGAAAAAAATCAATGGAAGAACTTTTAAAACCGTTTTTGTAACTGGTGAACGTTATGTTCAACTTTTGAGAGAAAAGCTTATTCTCATATTGCAGGACAGACAAGCACTAAGCGAAATAACATTCATGCAAGATGGAGGACCTCCTCATATCTCCCGCGGTGCCAAACAATTGCTGAAGGATACGTTCGGTGAAATTCGTTGATAAGTCGCCACTTTATATACCAGTGGCCTCCAATATCACCAGACTTGAAGCCTTACAATTTCGGTTATGGAGGTACATTAACTCGCGTTTTTATCGATGCCGGCCTACCACATTGGCCATGTTGAAGGCTTCTATCAGATGGCACGTTTTATAAATTTCAACTATTTAATTGTGACCATTCTTTTATCTATCGTCTGCAAGCGGTGTTTGAGAATGAAGGGCGCCACATTGAGCAAGGATTGTGACTTAATACAAGAGAGAAGGCAGTTACCTCAGGTGTTATATTTTGCAGCTCTTTTTTTTTTTTTTGCTTATCCCTAGTACACGTGGTACAGGCCATGATAATCATGGTGGGTAGTTAGCGACTGCTTTTACTGTAAGTGCACCACATGTCTACACATGTGAAAAGCAGTTCGACTTTGCACTTACTAATGCCAGAGCCCCGTTTGGTTACTTGCACTCGCTGGTGGGGTTGGACTTTTGCAAGAATCGGGGGCCATTGGAGCATTTTTTTTCTTTAAACAGAAAAAAGTGTCCAATGCGGGTTCGAACCCGGGTCCTAGTGGTCGAAAACCAAACGCAGGGTTTTGGGTTATGGGAATAATAAATGCTGTCCTCACATCTTGACTCTTTTTTTTTCTGTGAACAGTAATTTTTTTTGTTTGTCATTTGCCCACATCTTATATTATGTCGTGCAGGCCAAAGTGGCATAACTTCTCGAATAACACTGGTATACACAATTTTACCACTTATGTTTAGTTTATCGCTTTTCGCTCATTAGAAGAAATAGCATAAGGAATATTCTCTGTATCCCCCCAACTTTAAAATTTTGCGCAAAAAATAGTACAAAATGATTTTACTACCACGTTTTTCAAAGCAAAAGTTCGATTTAAAAATGATTTTTGAGGGGATACATTTTCAAAATTATGTACAGTATAATAAACAATGATAACCTTTGACAAACCCATAGGATATTTGGAATAAAGTACGACAAATATATTTTATCACTCCCCTCTATTTTTCATTTTTGGATCATGACAAATATCCAGTTAAATAGTCAAGTGTCGCCAATTAGTCAAGAAACTATACATTCCTTATAGCACGAAATCCTATTAGTAGCGCCATCATAATTTTTGGTACTATATTAACATTTCAAAAATCGTGTATTGATATCAGTAGTTATTTTCAAACATTCAATCTATTTCACAAAACTCCATCTAAGATATAAATATTTTTTGCTACAAGTTTTAATTTGCATATACCTATTTTACATATCTCAGATTGTATTTAAAAATCGTTAACCATTTCTTCTAACTTTTGCCGAAATGGTCTTTTATTAATTTATCATTTGATATTATTAGGGTTCTTTCCTGGTATTCAAAAAGGAAAAATACGTGTCGTTCAGTTATATTTTTCAATTTATCAAACAATTTGGCCGCTGAATCTCTAATTCTGGTAGAGCGCCATCTGCCGAATAAAGTTGTAACTAAAATCAATTTCGAATTTTTCATTATTTGCCATAAAAAAATCCCATTGCATCCTGAACACAATGGTGTTTATCGCATTGATCTAGCGCAAATATTCGCGGAGTTATTAATTTTTAAAGTTGTGCGGGACTTTTGGATCACCCTGTATTTTTATGTAGAATGGTAAAATAATATGTTTATACTAGTTAAAAGCATTTAGAAACATTTAATAAATTGCAATAATTTCCATAAAAATTTCAAAGAATTTTAAAGTAGAAATCACCAATACTATGAAGAATTGATGCGAAACAATAAATGAAAGAGCTTGACTCATCAGTGGCGGACCCTCTACTTTACACTCATCTCATTTTCTCTCATATCATTAAGGACTATGAAGCTAGTTTCTGATGATTTATGTCTCAACAACGACAAAAGCCTTTTAAATACATCTCGTCTTTTATAGACTCGTCCCGGACT